TGCCACCTTCCAATAACCTTGTTTAGCACAGTGTACCACACAAATATTTTCAGTTTCTATGTGAGAAAACTGAGGAAAGGTTAAACAAAACAGAAACTCAAGCGTGGCGAATGAGGAGCAGGGAGCCCACAGTGTGAGAAGTGGACAGCTGTGAACTCCCTGTACCACAGTTCAGAGACTTTGGGAAACAGAGACTTGAGACCCTGAAGAGGTCCTTCCCTCCAGTGCCCATTCCTGCATACTGATGAAGCCAGAGCCCAGCATGGCATGTTCAGAGGCTGAGATAGAATGATCACAAGTTCAAGCCCAGTCTGCGCAATTCAGTGAGACCCTGTATCATAAAAAGCAATTAATTAATAATAAAAAGGCCAGCCTGGCCAAATAGCTCATCAGATTAAAGCACCTGCAAGCAGGTGCAGGGGCTGGGGGTTTGATTCCCCCAGGGCGTGCTGAGATGGCAATTGAGACTGGACATGGTGGTGTGCGCCTGTAAGCCCAGCTCCTGGGAGGCTGTAAACAGGTGGATCACTACAAGTCCGATCTAGTAGTGAGACCCTGAACACCCTATAGACCCTTCCTTAAAATATAAATAAATAAATAAATAAATAAATAAATAAATAATTTTTAAAAGGCTGAGGAAGCAGCTCCCACACTACAGAGCGGTGCCATCCTCAAGGTTCAAAGATCTTTGGAAGCTGCGTGGCTGCTAAGAGGTCTGACCAGGTACGGCCAGCTCCTACTTCCCTTCCTGACTTCCACTTCACACAACATGCTCACCCCTGCCCACACACCACACTCACCCACCTCCACAACAACACACCTGCTGGCATCCACACCACTCCCAGTCTTCTCCAGCCTGCTGTGTCCACTCGCCTCTCCACAACTCGTCTTCTCACCTCCCGATGACACTGCCTGCTTCAAATCACATCTTCGCCTGGCACTGCCCAGCACAAGGCCTCTTATGGGCCAGATCCTAAAGCAGTACTCCCCTTTTCCCTTATTTTTTACCTTCTCAACACAACTATAAACATTTTGTAAAGCGTTCTCTCCTCGCATCCTTTCTTTGTTCCTCTTTGAACTAATGATATATGAATTTGTTAGTGCTAAAAACAGTCCAAATGTAAAAACAGAAAAAAGATGCAAATGTTTGCTCCACAGTTTACACTTATTAGTCACACTAAGGTACCTATACTTACTTCCTGGTCACTTTTAAACACAATTTCTTGCCCCCTTCTTGTTTCCAGTAATAAGTAGCTTTGATCCCTTCAAGGGATATTTTGAGACCCTTTGACAGTCTAAGGAAGGTCAAAATCCAAGACACAAATCCATAGACAGATCCAGCAGAAGGCAACCAGCCTCCTCCAAACTTCCTATAATTTTTCAAATTCAAATGAGGCCAGGCTTGGCAGTACATGTGCCTGTGATCCCAGCACTCAGGAAGCTGAGGCAAGCAGATTGCCACAAGTCCAAGGCCAGTGTGGTTACAGAGTGAGTTCAAGGCAAGCTGGAAATATATAGCAAGACCCTGTGTCAAAAGACCAAAAAGTAAATAAAAAATATACATGATCTATAGCTACATTTGCCTGAGAATAAATCATCTTAATATTTGTTGAGTTTCCTTAAGCCTAAAAACAAAAGAAGGACCAGGATGTAGATCAGCAGGCTAAGTGCCTGCCTGGCAAGCACAAGGCCCCAAGTTCAATCCTCAGTACTAAAATAAATAAATAAAAATGTAGTGACTAAAAGCAAAACATAAATCACCTGCTTAGGCAAGCTTAGGCAAGGCACAGAACTGTGGTTCAATCCCAGCACCACATACCACACCAGCCCTGCCCCAGGGTGGGCTGAGCTGGCCACACACAAAAAAATAAAATAAGAAAATAAGAAAAACAAAACAAACTTTAAAATTCCATGTTACTAACATCTCACTAAGCTCCTGCTCCAGGCCCCACAGCTGGAGTCATAGGCTTGCATCTTCATCCTAAAGAAACATCACCCTAGGGCTCCTTTATCCCACACAACCACCCCATTTGAAATCTGAGATATGGGTGATGCAGTTCTCCTTTCCTCTGGGTTATAGAAAAGCAATCAGGTTCTCATTCCACTCAGCAGCTTCACAAAAACCAATACTCCCTCACTGTTTGGGCAACTTTTCCAAAATTTCACTTAAAGTGAAACTTCCAGATCCCCTCAGCAATTCAGTTAATATGCAGCATCCCAATAGGAGACCTGGTAGGGTCCTTGGGCCCTGCTCTAACCCACTTCCCGATACCCTGGCCTCCATCTCATCAACAGTGGCTCTGGTTTTATAAGCTCAAAACCACTTAAGTAAAGCAAAGCAAAATCTGAAGCTGCTCATTTCCTAAAGTGGCAGGTAGGAGGTGTGGGACAGGTGGGAAGCAGGACACAAGAGGACACAAGGCAACTGCAAAACATCATGGAAACAAAGTTTTTTTGAAGGTAGATGGCAAGCTGGGAGGATAGCTCAGCGGTCTGAGCACCTGCCTGGCAAGCACAAGGACCCAAGTTCAATCCCTGGTACTACATGCTGTGCAGCCCAAGAACCATGGGTGTACAGTGCTGGCTACTGAAATTGGGCGTGGTGGCACACACCTGTAATCAGACTGAAACAGGAGGATCACTATGAGTCCAAGCTGCATAGTGAGACCCTGCACCAAAAAAAATTTTATAAAGGAAGATGGCAACAAAGTTCTCCACCAGCATTCCTGCTGGAGACTCCTAGAACTACAATGGATAGTAGTGGCTCAGACACCATGTGAGCACTTTGTCATGATCCTATGTGTGCGACAACTGAGGCTCACAAAGGCTAATCAGAAAACTAGTCCAAACTGAGGGCTGTGAACTCAAGCACACCTAATTCCAAATCCTGTGCTATTCCTACCATGACATCCTGTCATGCAGTTGGAGACAGAGGACAGCTATACCCTGGGCTAGATTCCCACCACGGGAGCCCTCATGACAGCCTATGGCAAGAGGAGCAAAAGGTGTGTTGTCCCAGTCACATACAGTGAGCCAACAACAAAAGTCCTAGTCCTAGCCCCCTTTCCATGAGTGCAGTCTCATTCTCTCTGGCTTTCTGTCTCAGTGGTGTGGATCACCATGGGTTACGAGTGAATCAGCATAACAAATACCTATTTTGTACCTGCTGTGTGCAGCATACTGGATGTATGGCATCAGAAAAGCTAAGTAATTTATTGAGCAGCCCTGTGAGTTTTTGTTATCCATAAAATGGGGAAGAACAAAGCCTTTCCTCTAGGCCTCAGATGACCAATACATGACCATGTGATGCAATAAGGGAAAAGCATGCTGCATAAAGCCAAAGTGTGCCATTTCTGAGGTGTGGGTTCCAAACTCCACAGCTGGTTTCTTTCAAGGTATGTGTTAACATGGCAGCAGGAGCAAGAACCAAGGCAAAGGAGAGAAAGAGCAAAGGAAGGAGGGAGAGAGGAAGGAAGGAAAACTCTGATGTCAAAGTACTTCCCAGAAACTTGGGTCCTACTATTATCTTTTAAATAACATTCCCTACCTCCACTGGTTCTGTGAAAACAAATGCACCCTCCAATTGCAAATAAAAAAAAAAAAAAAAGCAGAACGACAAAGTAATGGTAAGAGTCTATTGCTGGACTGTAGGATGTAATCCTGGCACTACTAGTTGCTAGTTATGTGATCTTTTGCCCTGCCCTGCTCATCTCTCAAGTAGGTAAAAGAATGGCTCGTAAAACATATATTATTAGGGCCAGCCAGCTCGCTCAGCAGATTAAAGCACCTGCTTAGGCAGATGCAGGGACCAGGGTTCGATCCCCAGCGTGCTCTTTTAAAATTGAAGAGGAAATGTGTGGGTCACTATTTCCAACATTGCTCAAGAATATTTAACTCACAGTTGGTCTCATTTTCAACAGCATGAATATGGAAGAGGGGCATGTCACAAGGGGTGACCTGAACTGAGTCAATTATTAAGAAATTGTGATGGACTGGCCAAATAGCTCAGCAGATTAAAGGTGTGGGGGCTGGGGATTCGATCCCCAGGCCTGCCGTGCTTGCCCCACCCCTGAGGCACCCTGAGACAGTTATTGAGACTGGGTGTGGTGGCGCGCACCTATAATCCCAGCACTTGGGAGGCTGAAAACAGGAGAATCACTACAAATTCAAGCTGTGTAGTGAGGCCCTATACTAAATACATAAATCAATCAAACATATAATGTATGGGGGAAACTTTACATATATACCTAGCTTAGCACATTGTAAGCACTTGCACACTGACTATTGTTAATCACAGCTGGACAGAAAGAAAGGCAACGAATGGAATGGCCACGTAAAAACAGATGCAATTTACAATCACGATTCTCTATTTCAACACTGAACACTAAAGCCAGAAGGCAACAGACACTAGACTCGTGCCTCGCAAGCCTTGTAGGGTAAAGGACCACTTTTTGCTATCTTTTTCCTTGAATCTAATCAGGCTATAACCCTACTGTGGATGCCTAGCATAGCAACTTGCCCCACATGCAGCTTTGCAAGCCAGTTTGACAACATGTTTCACCGGTTTTGAACTGGTGCTTCCGCAGAACCAAGTTGCTATAGCAGTTCCTAAATGCTCTCTTTCTCTCTCAGCTGCTCTGCTTTTCTCGTCATGGGTCAGCAAGTTTGTGGGCCCATCCACAAACCTCACCTTGAAAGCAATGATCTGCACTGTTCTTCCTTCTCTCTGTAGTGTCATTTTATGGAGTCAGAAAGCACCCATAAATGTCAGGGCTACTCGTCTTTTTTAAAAAGATCCCATGAAAACTCAACTCTTAAGTACACATTAGGATCTCACAAAAATAAAAGGGAGTAAAAAAGAAGAAAATAATAATATCAACTCAGCCCAGCTGGTGCTGACCACCTTAATCATACAGACCTAGGGATGAGATTTACTGAGACCAACAGGGAGATTACAGCTTTCAACCTGAAGCAGCCTGGCTCTTGTTGGCATCCCTGACCTTGGGGCGGTCCTCCTTCCTCAGAGCCACGGCTTCCAGTTTGGCTTCATACTCTGCTTGAACTTGATCTCTCTTCTTCAGTACACTCTGTGGGAGGCAGAAAAAAACCACATGTAACAAGGAGTCTGCAAAGAAGGCTTCCCAAGCCCAGGCCATAGCTTCTTTACCCCAGCCCTCTCCAAATCCCAGCGTCCCCAGCCACATCCAGCCATGCACTCCCAGGCCAGTCTTGTCATGGGATAGAAGCTGCAGTGACATGTGATAGACGCAAGAAGCATGTGAAAGGAGGCAAGAAAAGAGAACCATTCTTGGAGATCATGCTTTTCCGAAGTCACTGCCAAATATCAAGGTAAAAAACTTGAGCGGAGCAAAAGAAGAAACAGGGCCCACCTTCTCACACTGATAGCAGGACTCGGCTTAACCACACAGAAAACTCAGCTGTGTAGGAAGGCAGGGCCTCATAGGTTATAATGCACGAGATTCTCTGAACTCATTGAAAAAGTCTAAGCCAATAAGTGATTTTCTGAAATATATATAACATTATGGTATGGCTAAATTGAGCTAATTAATATGAAAAACTCACTGCTTCAGCTGGTGAGACAGCTCAGTGAAATAAAGCACCTTCTTAGGCAAGCTTAGGCAAGCACAGGGACCACAGAGTTAGATCCCACATGCTATGCCAGCCCTACCCCCAGGGTGGGATGAACTGCCCCCCCCACACACACTTATTGCTTAATGTTGAGAATATGTAAAATCTATGTAATCTTAAGGATATGACACACTATAATTATAGTCACTGTTGCACACAATAGAAGTGAGAGGGCTTGACTTTACTACCGAGTTGATCTCTGGTGAACTGGTTTATTCACTGACCATTAACTGCTTCTCTGTTCTCTCCCCTGGATAAGATATACAGAGAGCAAAAAGGTAGTCTCTCCTGAAGGGTTCAGCCTGAGAGAGGTGCAGAAAATAGTCATGAGGCTTGTGCGCTGTAAGAGCTATGCGTGCATGAGTCTGGAATCCTAGTTCCATATAGTCAGCCTGGGACCGGGCCCAGGTAGGAGCAAGGTGAGGCAAGGCAGGTGCTCAAGGTGCAAAATACAAAGAGACACTCCTCTGCAGACCCATGCCAGCAGAAGATCAGCAGTCTGGTGATGTCTCCTTACACCTGCATCTGGGCTCATCTTTTTCACCTCACCTAGTCTCAGCTGTGCCACTAAGACCCACCAAGCAAAATGGAGAAGTTTGCAGCAGCTATTTTTATAAAAAGGGTTTCTAAGGGCTGGGGAGACGGCTCAGTAGAATAAGTGCTTCCCTGGCAAGCGCAAGGGCTTGAGTTCAATCCCTGGTTCTGGAAAAAAAAAAAAAAAAAGAGTTTCTTTTCTTCTCGTAGAATCACATATGGAAAACCAGAAATGATAAGAACTTTCTTCCCGACCAACTCAGAAGTCACGGGTTGCTATGAAAGTTACTGAATGTGAACTTTCCCTCAGCAAGAGCTTCTCACACAGCATAGAGTCAGGACAGGAAGGAACCATTCCTGGGCTATGCAGGGTGTACCTTGGGTCCCTGACAATGTTCTCCAAAGTGATGAGGGACTGCCTAGTTGAGAACAGGCCAAGGCCAACTTTCTAAAAGAGTGTAGAAGGGAATCCTGGGAACCAAGTCTTTCTTGAAATATGAATTTACTGTGAGGAATGTTTTGCCACAAATTGAGCATGAATTGAAGTCTACAATCATTGACTCTTCATGACCAACCACTCATTTTTGTCCTAAGGGCTCTGACATTTGCTCATTTCAATCTGTAAGTAGCATCACTTACAGTGCTGCTCAACAGCACTCTTTGCATGATGCCAACACTCCATTGTCTGCCCTAATACAGTAGTCGGTCATTTCATATTTCCACTGAACATCTGAAATTGGGCCATTATGACTGAGTGGGTTTAAATATTTATTTAGTAAAAAAGAAAATATTTATTTTCACTAATTTAAATTTAAACTTAAATCAATATATACAGCTAGTGGTTATCATACTGGATAGTACTAATTTAAAAAGTAAAATAAAACAAACACACAGGAAAAACTAGACAGAGGTCCTTCCTACATTTTAGAAAGTAATCCAAGTCTACTGGTCTGGTACTAGGAGTAGTAAATCCCCATGTGTAAGTGCATAAATACACACATACATGAGAGACGGACACATAATGCCATCCATGGGCATGCTGGAGCAGCCTGCCAAGAAGGCATTGCCTAGAATTCTTGTCCATGTATGTATTTCCTTTCACAGGATGTGGTCCATCATATTGGAAATAGCATATACATCCAGCCTAGCACTTCTAGGAATAAGGATGATGTTCATCAGGCCAGAAATGATCTTTAGACAATACCTTGGCATAGTCATCAGAGTGGAGCTTTCTGTCCCTCCTTCTACTCTATATAGTTCTACTGAGGATATCAAGGTCCCCAGGGGGAAGTGATGGGGCGAGGAAATACGCTAACTCCACACAGCAAAAACAGTTTAAATTTGTCTTACTTCCCTAGCTGCCCAAGAAGGCAAGGGAGCCCCAAAATGCAGCCATATTTTCTCTTCCCACCCCCTCCACCCTCACACCACAGGTAGACTGGACATTCTCCTTAGCCTCTGCTGTCTCAACCTCATGGGGAGCAGCAAGAACACTGCCTCTTGTGGAGGCGCCACAGGGATAACATTCCCAAGTTACAGGACAGCATAAAGGCTCACAACTGCCTTGTAGAAGCAAGAGGCCACTATCCTGTTTCCTAGACATGGAGACTTGAGACAGGAACACTGCTTGGACTTTCCAAGGTCACACTGCTGGCTGACAGCACAACAGTGACTCGTTTAGCTTCTGCCTGCTATTTTCCAGCTTAGGGCTTCAGTCTGAATTTAACCCAATTGTGCTAAAGGTTGGGAAGTTTACCACCTTGTGGGAAGCACATCTGCATGCTGTTGGCCATGGATCAGGAGGGCCAGCCTCCTGCCCCAAACACACAGACTCTGCTGATAAATCTGTGGAAGGGGAAAGGCAGCCTTACGATGCCCAACACAAATGGCCAGTAGCTGCCAGGAAGTCTTCTTGGGTCTGGAAAGCTTGTAAGCATCCCCTCTTTCTGTAAGAGAGACCTCAGAATATAGGGCTGCAGGAGAATAAGAAGGCACCAGGGAAGCTCACCCAAATGTAGATGGTGGCAGAACACAACAGTTCACATACTAGTAGGCCAAGAGCTGCAAACAAAGAGCCAGGAATAATCCATGCAAGACAACAGGTGCCCACAGCACCAACAAAAAAGTACAAATGAGGACAAGACTAAAGAACCCAATGTAGCCCTATGGCCTGTCTGGAAGAGCATCTCCCTGCAGGAAGCAAAATACATGACTTAGCCCTGATGGTATCACAATTGCTTTTTTTTGTATTTTAGGGAAGGGTCTACAGGGTGTTCAGGTTCTCACTACTAGATTAGACCCACAGTGATCTGCATGTTTACAACCTCCCAAGTGCTGGGATTATAGGTGCACACCATCACACCCAGTCTCAATAGCTGTCTCAGCGCACTTTAGGGGTGGGGCAAGCATGGCAGGCCTGGGGATCGAATCCCCAGCCCCCGCACCTTTAATCTGCTGAGCTATTTGGCCAGTCCATCACAATTTCTTAATAACTGACTCAGCTCAGGTCACCCCTTGTGACATGCCCCTCTTCCATATTCATGCTGTTGAAAATGAGACCAATTGTGAGTTAAATATTCTTGAGCAATGTTGGAAATAGTGACCCACACATTTCCTCTTCAATTTTAAAAGAGCTGTTACAGAAAAACTGGAAAAGAAAAATAGGATAGGGAGAAAGCCATCTGTGTCTCTTCTCTGAAACATAATTAGCAATACTTTATGACTTTATCATGTCTTCTGCACAGCTTCTTTGATGTTTCCTACTCCTCTGTTGTCTCCTCCCATACTCTACTAACTAGATGTAGCAATGTATGGCCTAGTCTTCTAATTTTTATAATTTTCCTCTCCAAACTGCAATGCTGCAATGTTTCTATTTCTTTCTTTTCGTGTGTGTGTGTGTGTGTGTGTGTGTGTGTGTGTGTGTGACGTGACCAAGGACCACAGGAGAGCTCTTTGTCACTGGGGGCGGCTCAGGCACTCTTGGTGGGCCGGGTCCGCTTCCTCTTTACCATCACGGGCTTCTGGCTGCACAGGATGGCGGTAGCTCTGTGGATAGCAGCCATGCGCAGGTCTGGGCAGTACTTGTTCTTTCGGATCGTGTGGTGGATGCTGCTGAGGGTGGCACGTGCGTTCTTGTTGATGGCAGTGCGCACATAGGAGGTGGCTGGCTTCCGCTGTCCGGATCTCCACTTCATGACCACCACAACCCCCTTGCCATCAGCCGCCAGCTCCATGTCCACCGTCTTTTGGTGAATCAGCCCACTGTAGCAAAAGGAGTTGCGGGCCTTCAGGTTATTGGGCTCCGTACTGTACATCTGCTTATTCTGCTTGATGAGGAAGCTGGAGCAGTTCCGCACTACCATCCACTGCGGGTGGGCAGACATGGCGGGGACTCCTCTCTCTGCTAAGGCCGGAGATGGAAAGAGCTCTATTTCATTTTATATGAAGTTTCCTTAATTTTTCTTCTATCTCCTCTTTTTTCATTCCCTCATCATTTCAATTTCCAAGAGATCTTTATTCACTAAATTTAAAAATTCTGGTTTTACAGCTGTGAGATCTTCTGAAGATACTAGTTTCTTCTTTCTGAATATACTAATTGTTTTTCTGGAATTTTTCTTTCCCTGTGATGTTTCATTCAGTATGCTTTTTTCTCATTGGTCTTTACTTCTGATACTTGGATCATCCCTTAAGTATTTGGTGATTTTTTTTCTAGTACATAAGAGGGCTGTTGACTCTAGAGGGAAGTCTGTAGTTCCTTTCATTGAGGAACCCACCCCTGTCCCATCCTCATTCCTAATATCAAACTCTTCTCTTGCCTTGTTCAGATTTCCTGGAAAAGGTTCTTCTAATGGACGACACAAGGCTGAGAGCCAAGCAGGCTCTCAACACTCAGCAACCTCTGACT